AAAGCACGTACTTTTAAAAATATGCTCTGTCCTGCTGGGGCCAAACACCTGCCACTTACCACTTAGGGCTTTTTAAATTGTTACAACCTCACTCTTGTCTGGATTTAGTCTAAAAGGGCAAGCATGCTAAACTTCCTGCTCAGGTTCACCAGGTACACACATGATTGCAGCATCTGGGGAACTAGGGTAGCTGGTCAGAGCACCGCAAAGAATTCAGTGCACAGGAAAATTATTTTCCTGCTGTGTATCCCACCACAATAGCTGTCACTATTTCTGTAGCACACAGATTTCTGAGCTCCTACAAGACACAACACACTTACGCATGACATTAAAGCAGTGCTCACGCAACCTGGCGTGAGGTTTTGCAATAAGATGCATTATGAGCTCGAGCACACACTGGTTCTAGAGCAAAGCCAGATCCTCAACCCGCTCATCTCCCCAGCCCCTCCCCGAGTTTTTCTCAGCCTCTGCTACTATGGAGACACCCTGTGAAACAAACCTGCCCTTTGAGCAAATAAAAGGTGTGGCCTTTTAAACAGCCCAAAATTCCCCAACCCCAAGCGCTGCAGCAATGCAGTCATTCTGGCTCAGTAGGGTAGCACACACCCAGGTTTATGATCTACTGCTCCCAAGTTGAAACTTAACTCAGAGCCAACCTCGAGCTCTCTGAATCGGTACAGTGGAGCAGACAGGTCCTCGGCAAAGCTCAGCACAAACACTCTCAAATAAATACTGCTGGATGAGTCACGCTGGGAAAATGGCACCTATGAAAGGACGTTTTGTGACCAAATCTGTCAAAGGGCAAATTGAACACACAGGTTTAGAGGGAACTTGTCGCTAATTCAATCCCATCTAAACAGCAGCTGTGTTATAACCACGGTCTGCTTCAGCAAACACCGATCAATCATTACGCTGGGATTACCATTGAACCCAGCTCAGTATTCCACAAATTTTCATATGAGGCCTGAAGTACAGCTACACCAGAACCACCCAGAATCTGAAACTGATCAGTACTCACTCTTCTCGCTAGTGTGAGATGATAACAAAGGGCAGCAGCACATCTACATTCTCTGCTTTGACTTTAAACAGATGTCAGAGACTCAGACCAGAGCCTATCCCTACACTTGTGGGATTAAAAAGTTAAAGCTGAATAAATTCATGTGTGTTCAATATTCTGCTCTTTTTTAAATCACAGATTGAGGGCAAAGTAGATCTGAGGCTAAAATAGAGTATTTTCTACTACCCTTTTATTAACCGATCATTTTCTAGGAAGTCTCACACAATTTCATTTTCACCTACAACAGGAGTCATGGCTTGTTTCCTTTCCAAGTGCAAGTAATTTGAGCTAGCTTCCACATTAAAAAAAATGTTTTAGGTGTGATGGAGAAACTACTCTGAACCGATCCAATAGCTGGTCAGCCTGGGGTATCAATCTTCTCAGCACCTGTGCTTCAACCTACAGCTTCAACTCCTGTTAACCCCAACACAGATTCAGACAGCTTTCATAATCCAACCAGGGGCACACCGATGGCCCTGCGCAGGACAGTTATCTACAAACTGAGACACAGGCACACAAAAACTGTGTGCAACGCTACCGCAGGCTGGGTTGAGCTGCTTACCAAACCCAGCTGGCACGGTACTGCCAGAGGACACCCGGACCTCGCTTCGGCCATGCGGCTCACATGTGTGATCATGCCTGCTCACGGCCACAAGAGCCAGCTTGTTGCAGCCTCCAACTAAAGCCATAGGAGGGGACTGGAATTTCCTCACAACATTCTTGGCCTGCTGCCTGAAGCCATAATTGCTGTTCCCATGGCAAAGATCCTGCCTTGATCCAAATCACTGCTATGCAGCCAGCCTGTATCACACTCCAGCAAACCCGCTCTTAAAAATTAACTTCTCAAATGCCTCAGAGGTGCACTTCTCAGAGAGCTCAGCTTCACCAAGAAGCTACAAGATTGTCCAGCACCTAGACTGAGACTTTTCCACCACTGAAATGCAACTTCAGAATAATGACGTATCATAGCTGGTACTCTCCCTAGTAAGCAGGTCCTGCTCAGAGACCACTGGAGCCTAGAGACATGGTGGTATCTGGGCAAATTAAAGAACAGGAAAGGCGACAGAGATGTTGATCAAATTACTTCAGCGAGGCAACTGCAGGGGTCAGAGCCAGCACCTCAGAGTTCAATCAAATACAGCGCCTTCATCTTAAGTCCCTACTTCCTTTTCAGACAGCAACGAAATTATGGGAAGAAGTAACTCTTGAATCATGTGTTTCTCATCTGTAGGACATTCCAGAAGGCTGTGCATCGAGAGCCCCAATCCAGAACTGTAATGAGCTTTCTAAACAAATTCACACACTTTAAACTGAGCCTGGGGACAACGGTAAATGTGAAGCCCAGGAGTGGCTACTACAATTAGCACCCTGATTAAAAACAAGACCATCAGGCAGTACAGAACAGTGCTCAAGTACTAAGCCATGAGAACATCTGGGGACTTGAGTTACAGAACCTAAATATAACAATTCTGTTAATTATTAACAGAAGCGGGTGTGGGTACCCTTAATATGTAAATTAAGGATGTGAGAAAATCCTAAAAGTGCCGGCACCCTGCCCTTTAAACAATAAAGGAGAGCAAACTGATACATACTTTCACCAAGTCCTCAATTTCAAAGCTAGGCTCTAGCAACTGAACAGACAACAGGAAGATAACTCACAGTGGCCTGTTTTTATCTTTTACCACAGAGGTACATACTTTCAAGCAGCAATTGACACACGATTTGATTACACAGCTCTTTTGAAACACAGATGCCTCTGTGTCTCTCCCTGCAAGAGTCCTGCAGAAGATCTTTAGTACAGAAGCAGCAGAGTATGGGGGAGCTGTCTGGATGTAGCTGACCTGCACGCAGCCACAGAGGATGCCAGCCTAAGAGAACCCTTCACTTTGTTCCTCGCTGTGCACGAACAGGATTCTGACTTCCCTCAGCAAATCTGTGACACGCAGAACATTAAAGAAAGTACTTGTACTACATGGTCTACACTGGCATATTAAATATCTCAAACATAACCAGATAACACAGAAAACTTACCTTTATCAAGATGATTCAACTTTCCTTTTTGCTTCTGCCACTAAATTTTGATTCAACTTTCTCAAAACCTGCCTCCCCTGACATGACAAGAAACCCCATCTTTGATGTACACTTTGGTCTCACCACTCCCCACCCCAACAGGTATAATCGTGGTGACAGTCCTGCCCTGTCCTAGGAGTGAAAGCACTCAGAGGGGACTTCTCCCACTCCCTGTTGTAGACATCTGACTGTCCTGCGCCAGGGACTGAAATCACCCACAGATGGGAGTGATGAGGCACGCAACACCACATCCTGAAGCTTTTCAAGATTCACCAAGGACTACAACTACAGTTTCAGAAGCGTCCTGGTCAAGTTTAGTTATGTAAAACCACTTGCTAAAGCTGCAGAAACCTAACGTTGTACGTTACACACTGTTAAAACCAGCTGAGTGACTCGTACCTAGATTAACCGGTCTACTAGATGTTGTATCCAACTGCTCCATGGTGGTCAGGGGATGACTTGTCCCCCTTTTGTATCAGCTATGAACTATTAACTATTGCCCAGGCTCAAGCCCTTCCTCCTCCAGAACCAGACACCACCACACGGCACTACGATTAAGCCAAATTTCAGATTCTCCTATGAGTTAAAGTTAGAATAACTTCTCCCCTACAGCCATTAAGCAGAGCCCCTCCATGCGTGTAATGCTCCTCAGAAACCCCAGAGCACTAAGGAACATGCCTACGCTCAACAGCAGGCACATCTCATCTTGTATTTCCACTGCAAAGAACTCTCTGCTGTCTAGGAGCAAGTTCTAACGCTCCTGCTTCACTCAGACCTAACAGAGCTCACACCACACAAGCCCGGCTCTACCTCGAGTCAGTCCTCTCGCTCGCTGCGTCACTCCACCGGCCTGGTCAAGTTGCTGCACACAATTATTTCTTAGTCAATAAGGAAGACGCTAACACCACACAATTCGGGCCATTAAAGAGCTGCCAGGTCACTAGTAGAGGGCCACCACTCGCACACACACTATCTAACAGAAGAACTCGCAGGGCTGAACCTACTGCAGTCCTGATCCCAGAGCATCAGCTACAACCTTCACAAAGGAAAAGACAACCCTTTAACACAGGAAGGACGCCGGTCTGTCCTGCACATTCCAGTTTAACATTTCACAGGAACAGCTTTTATCCTGTGAACACAACAGCCCATTACCAGGCTTGCAGATAAGGAGGCTCCTGTCAGCACTCTGAGTTTCTGGGCTAAGTCTGCGCTTTCAAAACCTGAGACTAGAAGGGTAAAGGTCATATTTACTGTACTCGCAAGAGATAAAAATCAACAGCTAAACACTCCATTTTTTGTGGCAGAAGGGTTTTTGACATATAACTGAGCAGGAATTCATATAAACAAAGGAAACAAAGGAATTCATATAAACAAAGGAGTTCTCAAGAAAGCAAGCACTGATTTCTCCATTGAGCAGCATTGTCTGGCACACAAATCAAGAGATAAAAATCAACAGCTAAACACTCCATTTTTTGTGGCAGAAGGGTTTTTGACATATAACTGAGCAGGAATTCATATAAACAAAGGAAACGGAGTTCTCAAGAAAGCAAGCACCGATTTCTCCATTGAGCAGCATTGTCTGGCACACAAATAAACAGCACGGCTCGACATTTTAGGAGGGGAAAGGGCTGTTGCTAAATGCAATAATGTTCTTTTCTGACAGTTGATAACCAATGTCCAAATGCCAAGAGCTAAGTGCTGAGCCATAACAAAAGTTTTTAAATGCACATGAAACTAAATTACCTTCTGGTTAAAACCAATTTACATGGTACCAGAAATAACCCTTTAAAGCCAAAGATCTGCATTTGGTGAGGCTAAAACTAGGTCAGATGCTGAGCAGTGTAAAAAGAGAGAAAAAGTGAGAAGTGCCTACCTTTGTACCAACTGTTATATCTTGGACAATGCTGTAGAAAAAAGAAAGAAAAGGATTAAAAAAGTTAGATAGGTTTGCCACAAATATCCAGCATAGTTTACAGTAGTAAGAAAAAAGCAAGTCAAAGTGCACAGTTGTCTTTGCAGGTGAGCCAAGGACAGCTTATACAAGGAAAAAATATTGAATGGTGATGGTGGAGACCCGAGACCCAGCAGTGCTAGAGACCTGCAGCTCTTTGCTGCCTAGAGGGGAGCGTGCTCTTTCTGCAAGGGGACCACGGGGGGCTCAGACCGAAACACCCAGTTAACACAGCCTGGCTCCACATGGAACGCGAGGCCATTCCTGCACCACCTCCGACTAAACCAAGAGGAGAAGTGTCAAGAGCCAATTCCAAGTTGCCAATTCTTAACCTTCCACCCAAGGAGTAACCTCTGCTAGGCTGCAGGAGTCCATCTCTAGCGAAGTTAGGGTCAGCAGTGGGCACTACCCAGGCTGGCACTGCCGACAGACAGCACACACCGCGCCGAGCTTGGGCAGTTCCCTCGGCCAAGCGCAGCCCGT